CAATTTAATAATAAGTTAATAGTTTAATAAGTACGTACGTAATATTATCACATGGTAACAGCACGTATTATGGCAAAAATAAACATCGGCTGATTTGAAAAGATTTATTATAGTAATAATAGTAATCTCAGGACAATTCACACAGCTTCATCTAGACCCAAGTTAAGCTAGCTGAAGATTATGTTATGGGTACTGATATAAATACAAAGATTTTTTTTCGTAAATACATATATATTATCTATACATAGAAAACACCCAGACCGTTACAAACAATCATACTCATGAATACAAATGTTTGCAGCGTGCGAGGAATCGAACCCTCGACCACCAAGCAGGAATCAAAGCGGTGTGCTAGATAAATCGCTAGACTACCGACAACTAGCTGTACACGCGACTTCGTCCGCGTGGAATTTAACTTCTTATATTTTAGAAAAATAAAGTTAAATTCAACACGGACGAAATCCCGTGTACAGCTAGTCATCAATAAAAAAACACGTAGGTATCTCTAATATATTATACACTAGCTGTTCCCGCGACTTCGTCCACGTGGTTTTTAACTTTATTTTTCTAAAATAAAAGTAGCCTAAGTTACTCCTTATTACATCAGCTACCTGCCAAAAAAAGTCCCGTCAAAATCGGTCCAGCCATTTCAGAGATTAGCCGGAACAAACAGACAGACAGACAAAAATTGTAAAATATTTTATTTTGGTGTATGTACCGTATTTATATTCATATGCATGTAGTAAAAAACGGTTTTTTCTATATTACAAACAGACACTCCAATTTTTATTAAATGTATAGATGTATAGATTATTATTTATTTATTTATTTATTCATCCAAAATAATACAAATTGTGTAGGATAACGTAATAGTAACATTACAGTAAAATTTTGTCAACAACATAATAGCAACTTAAACATTAAATCTCGGTATATCTATAGACTAGCTGGCCCCAGCGACTTCGTCCGCGTGAAATTTTATTTTATTTTTCTAAAATAACAGTAGCGTAAGTTACTCCTTATTACATCAGCTACTTGCCAAAAAAAGTCCCGTCAAAATCGGTCCAGCTATTTCAGAGATTAGCCGGAACAAACAGACAGACAGACAGACAAAACTTGTAAAATATGTTATTTTGGTGTATGTACCGTATTTATATTCATATGCAAGTAGTAAAAAACGGTTATTTCAATATTACAAACAGACACTCCAATTTTATTTACATGTATAGATGTATAGATTAAAAAAAAAAGTAACAGTCATAAGGCTAGTCGTATGCCTAATATATATAATAATGTAATAAATTCATTTAAACAGAAATTGCGGGAACATTATTTAAATTTGTAACTTTTTTACTGTCCTTCTCCTTTTTTCACATCTTTCTGTTATATCCATATAATTTGAGACTGTACTTATAATTTGATTATCGGATCATTATGTATTTAGTTATATATAATATTTATACATTTATGGTTTATATTTAGATATATATTTATGTATGTATATTGTTATTTTTTTATAGAAATGTATATTTTGCTTATCTTTATTATCTTTATAAATCTTTTTTTGACATTTCTTATTTATATTAGTGCACCGCCAATAATCTTTCGCTGCACCACTCATGGTTGCCTGGTAAATAACGCGGCAAAATATTAAGTCCGCCACATGTACAAATTTTTTTGTGCATTAAAGTTAAAGAAATAAAAAAATACAATACTGTTTAATGAAAATGCGTGTTGTCTAGTGCTTTGAGATGTATCAAAATAAGGTCAACAAAAAAGTCCGTGATGGTATATGTCTATCTCTTAAGGATAACCAACAATAACCATTTTTTATCTTTTACATTTTACGGGATTTTTTTTTATCGTATGTTTCCCTTAAAATCATGTAAACTATGTTATTATGTCATAATCTAAAGAAATAATAATATTTTATAGTGACATATCCACTATAAAATACCAAAAAATAGCAATGTAATTCGTTACGCGCGAATCAGGTGTTATAAGGTCAAAGGTCGGTGCACCCCGCGTATTTGATAAATAGTGCTTCTCTGGATGTCTTTAAGAGAAAATGGCAGTATGTACGTGTATATGTACAAGTCCTTAAGTGTTAAGTTTTTCAAATGTACATACAGTAAAGAATAAATATTTTTAAGTACAGTACTTACGTACATTAATATAATACCTACTTTTTACTTGTATCTATTGTTATCAAAATTAAATTATAAGTTCTTAACTTGACCACGACTATGTGACCCTCTCTTGGCGCCAAAACGAGTGAAAAAATGAACAGCATACGACGACGACGCAGTACCTATAGAGTGGAGCAACTGCTTATTCAGTTTTATTCAACTATTTAGTCCCTCCACCGTTACAATGAATGGAGGCGGATATTACAATGTACGTAGCATTGCGAATATAAAATATCTAGATTAGGTATAATAAATTCATAATTCATAGGCCGTTACGGTATCAGAGCCAAAGTCTTCTTTCTTTGTTTATGTACTGTTAGATGCGACAGCGACTTTGTTTTTATATTACTATGTAATGATTGATATACCTAAAATAAATAAAATATCTGAGGTTTGGACAAAAATTCAAAAGGTACTTAATTTTTAAAAAGTATTTTGAAAATACCTATTTTGCATTTAGTATTTGAAATACAAAACACAAAACTATTTTTGTTTTTAGAGTGACATTTCTATGAATTCACTGTCGATAGCGAGCGGTGCGATGGAAAAAGATAACCGTTTATAAAAATATAATAAATAACCCTGGACAATTAACACAGACTGATACTGAACTGATATAAATAGATATTTTTATTTTGTAAATACATATATAATATACATATAAAACACCCAGACCGATGAAAACAATCGATGACCGATGAGTACAAATGTTTGCATCGTGCGAGAAATCGAACCCGCGGCCATCGGATGTAAAGCGGTGTGACCACCGAGGCAGTCGAAATATATAAATAATCTTATGAATTTAATTTATTCTAATTTGTTTATGTGCGCGGGGTGCGGTGTACGGTGCTCCCCCCTGCCTCCACCGTTGCTGGAGCTTGCATGTATGGAGCATTGCGAATATAAAATATCTAGATTAGTAAATTCATAATTGATAGACCGTTACGGTATCTATATATATTCGGATTAAAATAAGTATCGCAGTAAGGACCAGTATATAAAGTGATCAACACAATTAACTGATTTTTGAAATATATATACAGAGCCAAAAAGTCTTTGTGTATTCAAAAAATATCTAATTTGTTTGTGTGCGCGGGGTGCGGTGTACGGTGCAGGGGGGACCCTGCCTCCACCGTTGCTGGAGCTTGCATGTATGGAGCATTGCGAATATAAAATATCTACATTAGTAAATTAATAAAGTCATAATTGATAGACCGTTACGGTATCTATATATATTCGGATGAAAGTAAGTATCGCAGTAAGGACGAGTATATAAAGTGATCAACATAATTAATTGATTTTTGGAATATATTCAGAGCCAAAAAGTCTTTGTGTATACCAAAAATTTAGCCGTTCGGAGCCATTCAGTCACGAATTATTAGTAAAAAAAGTGTCGAGTATATCGTACTATCGACGAATATATATGAGCGCATCGCAAAATAGAATGCGACGTTGCCATACCGCCTGAGATATACGCGATAGGAGTCAAGTTATTCAGTGCAAAAGGTGGAATCGGCAAGTGTGTAGGTTGTGGCGTGATCAACAAAGTGCCCAAAGAGGTGTTTATATATATATATATATATATATATATATATATATATATACATATATATATATACTAACTGTCCCGGCAAACGTTTATTACCATAAATAAAATAAAAAATTAGGGGTGTACTATCCCTAACATTTAGGGGTATGAAAAATAGATGTTGGCCGATTCTCAGACCTACTCAATACGCTCACAAAATTTCATGAGAATCGGTCAAGCCGTTTCGGAGGAGTATGGGAACGAAAACTGTGACACGAGAATTTTATATATAAGATTTTTTTCATTAGTGCATTTATTTCTTAATCCGTAAAGGTTTTTTTTTGTGACAATAAGATTGAAAATTAACTAAAATACAATTTATAAAGAACATCAAGATCTAATAATTGTAATTTGAAACAATTTCCGTGCAATTATTATCTAAACTGTCGTTCCCATACTCCTCCGAAACGGCTTGACCGATTCTCAATTAAAATTTTGTGAGCGTACTGAGTAGGTCTGAGAATCAGCCAACATATATTTTTCACCCCCCTAAATGTTAGGTGTAGTCCACCCCCGAAATTTTTTTTTTAATCTTAAGGCAAAACAACGTTTGCCGGGACAGCTAGCAATTCTATAAAAATCTATGGAGTTCTATAATATGTTAGAATTCACATCATTATTGTAGAAAAAATCCGATATTTTAAAAATATATTAAAAGAAGGTAGTTTGTTTTTAGTACTAATGAAGTACCCAATGTAAGGATTATTACGAATATTGTAAATAGCGCCATCTAGTATTTATAGACCAACCTACTACACTGACTTCGGTCTATAAATACGGAGGTCGGTAGTTGAATAATCCTCTTTCGTAGCGTGAGCCGCGGCATTCAGTCGACGAGCGCAGAGCGTGCCGGTTGTGTTTTGGATATTAAAGTGAATTGTATTAGCAATGGGTTTATCCCGGTCTTAGTTGGGCCTGGGGGGAAGCTGCAGGTGGTGGTTGTGAGTGTTGATGCATTCTAGAAGGGCCTTTTGAACCTGCACCCGTGTCGCAGGTCACGGGCGCTACTTGGGGTTTCCCTTGCGGTGGCCGGCTTCAAGACCTCAGTCGTCCATCATAATTAGTGCTTCTTACAAATATAAGTATAGTTCAATTCTTTTTAGCGTTACATACCAAGAAAACAAAACGGTGTCTGTTACTAATATACAAAAACATACAAGTATTGTATGTTTTTGTATATTAGTCGGACAGTCCGTGACATTAACATACGTGTTATTTTGCAGCGTCCTGAACAGAAGTCCAGAATACCTCATCAAGGAAATCATCCTAGTCGACGACTACAGCGACAATCGTAAGTTGAACATATATATATCATACATTTCAAATTTTATCAAAATTATATTTGATTATGAAAGTTTCAACTCCCTTTAGAATGTTATCTCCCAACTAAAACTTTATAAAAAACTACCTGTTCTTGCGCTTCGTCCGCGTGGAATTTGACGTTATTTTTTTTCTAAAATAAAGTCTAAAGCCTAAGTTACTCCTTATTACATCAGCTATCTGCCAATAAAATTCCCGTCAAAATCGGTCCAGCCATTTCGGAGATTAGACTTACAAACATTGTAAAAAATGTTATTTTGGTGTATGTACCGTATTTATATTCATATGCATGTAGCAAAAAACGGTTATTTCAATATTACAAACAGACACTACAATTTTATTTATATGTATAGATGTATAGATAATAGTTAAAACAATTTATGAATGCAATTGTCTTTACGATCTATCTTTTTTTTTTTAGAATAGAAAATCATTTATTCAAATAAACTTACATTGAAGCACTTTTGAATAGTCATTACATTTTTTTTAATCTACCGCAATCTTATCAATTTTAATCAAGTATATAGTACATATACATATAGTAAATTATAAAGCTATAATCATCATAATTAAAAATTTACGTATATGGACTTTTGTTGTCTGACATAAATAAATAATTAATATAATTTTAAGAAACATATTAAATTTAAACTTAAAGCGGCCCATTCATATAACATTTTAATATATTATTTTCAAATAGCAAACACTATTACAATTTTATCAAAAGTAAATAGTCTAATCAAACAGGAACCCGAACAGTCCAGACCTCCATAAGCAGTTCACGAGTATGACGGCCGAGCTATACTTACTGAATGATTATAAAACGTATACATTAATCAATACTCGGTACCTGGAATAAGTATCATTACAAGAAATCTTGTGTATTCTTGAAAGTGTATCGATTTCTGAGTAACAATAGCTAAACACATCTATACATATACATAAAATTGGAGTGTCTGTTTGTAATATTGAAATAACCGTTTTTTACCATATGCATATGAATATAAATACGGTACATACATCAAAATAATATTTTGTACAATTTTTGTCTGTCTGTCGGCCTGTTTGTTCCGGCTAATCTCTGAACCGATTTCGACCGCTGGACCGATTTTGACGGGACTTTTTTTGGCAGGTAGCTGATGTAATAAGGAGTAACTTAGGCTAATTTTTTAAAGTTAAATTCCACGCGGACGAAGTCGCGGGAACAGCTAGTCATATTATATTTTTATTAACCCCTGTGGATGCATACATACATACATACATACAAGAATGCACAGTTTGTAGTTACTCACAATTATTATCATTCACACTCTACTAACGGTTACACAAACATTCCAGCTCAACATTTTTATAATTCGGCCGCAATTATTATTAATTAAAGAACTGGGCAGTGTAGGTATTTCTTATAAGATATATATACACTAGTACAATGAACCAAAAACTAAAAAAGGTAGTTATTAAAAATAAAATTCACAACTAAGAAAATAAATTCTACAAAAACAAATACTTTCAATTCGTTAATTAAACTAGCTACTCGCCCAGACTTCGCACGGGTGTACATGAATTATATATATAAACCTTCCTCTTGAATTACTCTATCTATTAAAAAAAAATTTCAAAATCTGTTGCGTAGTTTTAAAGATATAAGCATATATAAGGACGGACAGACAGCGACAGCGACTTGTTTTATACTATGTAGTGATACTGTAGCTACTATTAATACCGAAACTACTAGACTTATCATATGAACATCTAAAACTGTAAAAAGTCAAAATTATGAAAATTTAACTTTGTATAAAGTTATGTGTACCATGAACTTGCGACCCGCATATTGACCATGTCTGTTCTACCATTTTAATGGCATAATTGTTAAGTTTTCTCATTGATTGTTAATGAAACAATAGTGTTGTTTACGATTCACTTTTTTATATGTACGACTTATATGTATTCACATTAAAAAAAACACTCTATATATGTATATATCTCAATATTATAAACGCGAAAGTTTGTATGGATGTTTGTTACTCTTTCACGCAAAAACTAGTCAACGGATTTTGATGTAACTTTACAGTAATATAGATAATACATCAGAAATGTATAGACTATATTTTGTAGTGAAATTTATATATTGAATTATAACATAGGTGAAACCGCGGCCACACATATAATATATAAACTTTTTGCCTCGCACAACCACATTGTGGAATCACCTTCCAGCAATGGTATTTCAGAGCCGATACGATATTGGAACCTTCAAGAAAAGAGGTTATTTCCTTTTTAAAAGGTCGACAACGTCTTAGGGGATTCCTACGTCATAGTAGCTTTATGCATGCAAAGTCTCAGCCCAATCGGTTTAAAATTGACAAAGTTTCATACAAACTTTCATCCCCTATTTTATCCCCTTGGGGGTAGAATTACTCAAAATACTTTCTTAGCCGATTCCTACGTCATAACATCTACCTGCATGCCAAATTTCAGCCCGATCCGTCCAGTGGTTTGGACTGTACATTGATACATCACTATGTCAGTCACCTTTGAGTTATATATATTTAGATTTCTAAAAAAATGTATATGAGTTATTTAGTACCTATAACATAAGTTCTGCTTAGCTTGGGACTAGATGGTACGTACTATGTGAATTGATCAGAAATGTTATCATTACATAGTATAAAACAAAGTCGCTGTCGCTGTCTGTCCCTATATATGCTTAAATCTTTAAAACTACGCAACGGATTTTGAAGCAGGTTTTTTTTTAATAGATAAAGTGATTCAGGTTTTTTAATAGATAGAGAAGTAGGTTTATATATATAATACATGTACACCCGTGCGAAGTCGGGGCGAGTAGCTAGTAGCTAGTAATTATATAATTGCCATCAACATTTGCCTCAGCAAACATACTACGGGAATATTAAAAAAATACTTTATTGTTTATGACTTTTAATCATATAGTATTTTTTTTTATAATAAACATATCTACAATTTGTACTAGCTGAGGACGGGGCTTCACTGCGAGCGATCCGCAAGGTGCACGTCATCAGGAACTCCAAACGCGAGGGCCTGATGAGGTCCCGCGTGAGAGGAGCGGACGCAGCCACCGCACCAGTACTTACGTTCCTGGACTCGCACGTGGAATGCAACGTGCACTGGTTGGAACCTCTCCTGCAGAGGATCAAGGAGGTAAGACCATTTCTAAATACAGCCTATAATTTTTTCCTAGTCTGTAGTCAATTTGCTAGAAAAAAAATTCAAATGTGTCATAAAATATTTTCTTTGTAAGAAATCTTATTATAACATTGAAGAATTTATAAATGATAATAATGTTTTTGTAGAAAATATCTAACTTAAAATTCATAGCGCTGACAATATTATCCGATTGAACAGAGATTAAGTGCGTAGCGGTTTCTATGTTGATTGTCGCATGCCTAATCCTTGTTGTTAATTAAATATAAGTAAATCAATATTTATTTAAAAGAGCAACACACAAGTTTCTTGCTTATTCTTCTTGTGATGAATCTGCATTCCGAATAAGCGGTAGAATAAAAAAACTTGACTATTCAAAAGTGCTTATATTAAGTTTATTTGAATAAAGATTATATCTATTTCTATTTCCTATTATTTTTTCGACTATTGAGAAGCAATATATGCAATTTTTGAAATATTTTTTTTATTAAACCAAATGCCATGTTTAAGTAAATAAGTGATAACCTACATTTACATAAACGGTTCAATTGAATACAATTCAAAATATCTTTATTCATGTAGGTCTATTACAGACTCTTATGATATATCAAATCTACCGTCAGTTCGGAATGACTTCGAGATGAGAACAACTGACAAGAAACTCAGCTCGTATTATTTTCAAATAAATGTTGTACATGTTTACAATAATACAGATAAAGAATATTTCTATTTCAGCTAGTAATTGTAAAAAAACAGTTCAGCAAAATAGTATGCACCTTGCAAGTGTGTATATCATCATTACATCTTTCCGTAGTTGATGAACTGACCCAGTCGCAGGTTCACATCCAGTAATGTATTTTGAATGACACCCGTGATTTATGACCACAACCGGATTACCACGTAGTAGTGGAGTTACATGTAATTCAGAAACATCATTAAACAATTGATTGTTATGTTTACGACGTCGTTGTTGTAGTTATATTTGATTACTGGAGTGGATTTAGAAAGCAGGTGATTTAGGTATCGTTTGAATGTGATATATTGATTTTTGTATGATATAGAATTGAAAGAATAGAATAGAAAATCATTTATTCAAATAAACTTAATTTAAGCACTTTTGAATAGTCATAAAAAAAAAATTTTATCTACCGCTCGCTCGGAAAGAAGAACGAGAAAGAAACTTGTGTGTTGCTCTTTTAAATAATCCTTGTAAGTTTACATTTACAAGTCGAAACGTACCACCAACCGCACAATTTTTTTATTTTATTGTTACTTTACATTTTAAGTTTAAGTGTGTGAATACAAACCACCAATTAACACTAATTTAATTAAATACTCAAATAGAAAAAAATATAATTATACAACCAACTGGTTAGGCAACTAAATAAGAGTAAATCAGTCGTAGTAATTAGAGCAGACCAGTCCCTACAAGCAGCACTCGTTCACGAGTATGACAGATGAGCCAGCCAGCGTTCGACCATATTTTAGGTCTACTCGACTGTATTCTGAGCTCTTCCAAAGAACCGGCCTGCACTTTTTAGCATGCCTGACATTACTCTTTCAGAATGTAATATATTTTATAAATGTATGTTGGGTACATACGAGAAACTCTACGTTAGGATATTATTTGAGATGCGAGTAACAGTAGGTACTTGGTTCTGAACCAGTGTTGCCAGATATCTGGTATTACTTACCTATTTTTGCATTTAAGGTTTTAAAGCAAAATTTCTCTATCGAAAATAGTAGATTTTCTTACGACCTTTTCTTGAACAATTACTTCATTTTTTATATTCCCATCGGTGCGGTGTGCCAAACTGATTAGGTTTTAGTTTCAGTCGCTTCAATGGGTTTGTGAAACATGCGACCGTTTCTAAGACAGCCAGTTCCTTGTGTTTTAGTAAATATTATTTCAGGCGTAAACATACGACAAAAGTATATTTTGAATAGCCATCACTTTTTTTTTAATCTACCGCTCATTTGGAAAGCTGTCTCATCACAAGAAGAACGAGCGAGAAACTTAATAAGATGATCATGAGGTCAGGCATAGACAATCTTTTGTCTCAAACACAGCAGACGAAGTTGTGGGTAGCTAGTTATAATCTGTACATATAAATAAAATTGGAGTGTCTGTTTGTAATATTGAAATAACTGTTTTTTACTACATGCATATGAATATAAATACAGTACGTACACCAAAATAACATATTTTACAATTTTTGTCTGTCAAAAATCTCTCAACCGATTTTGACTGGACTGTTTTTGTCCGGTAGCTGATGTAATAAGGAGTAACTTAAGGCTACTTTTATTTTAGAAAAATAAACATTAAATTCCACGCGGACGAAATCGCGAGAACAGCTAGTTAAGAAATATATTTATTCCCACAAATTTCCCTCATCACCACAAAAACTACCAAAATTTAGGGTAAAACACCTTTTCTTAGACACCCAGTTCCTCGTGGTATACCAAATATTTTTTCAGGCGTAAATATACGATAAAAGTATATTTATTAAGAAATATGTATGTGCCCCAAATTTCCCTCATCATCACAAAAACTACCGAAATTTAAGGTAAAACATCTTTTCTTAGACCACCAGTTGAAAAAATATTTGGTAAATCACGAGTTACCAAATATTTTTTCAGGCTTAAGTATACGATAAAAGTATTTTTATTAAGAAATAAATTTATTCCTCCAAATTTCCCTCATCACCACAATATCTACCCAAATTTAAGGGAAAACCTCTCAACGTGGTATCTCTGTTGGAAGCTCGCCCCGCCTCGTTGGTTGGCTGTACGTGGCCGGTATGATAATGTCAGTCAACTGCTGGCTAGGGACTTAGCTAACCACGTGACAGCAATCCTAAACATTGGTGTAGCTGACGCGGCTTGAGTTATTACATTCATGCAATATGTAATTGATGTATCTTAAGAGGATTGTATATTTGAGAGAGACCATACAAATTCTTCGCCTGTGGATATTTCTGTCTCAAGTAATTCACAGCATCGCTTAGACAAGGTTTTAGTTTATATAAATAGACAAAAAACTAATAGAAATAATCTTTATTCAAATAAACTTAATATAAGCACTTTTGAATAGTCAAGTTTTTTTATTCTACCGCTCATTCGGAATGCAGATTCATCACAAGAAGAATAAGCAAGAAACTTGTGTGTTGCTCTTTTAAATAAATATTGATTTAATTATATTTAATTAACAACAAGGATTAGGCATGCGACAATCAACATAGAAACCGCTACGCACTTTATCTCTGTTCAATCAGATAACATTGTCAGCGCTATGATTTTTAAGTTAGATATTTTCTACAAAACCATTATCATTTATAAATTATTTTATAAGACATTTGAATATTTTTTCTGGTAAATTGAGAACTGTTATGTTAGAGGGAGACCATACAAATTCGTCGCCTCTGGATATGTCTGTCTCAGCTAATTCACCACTGCTTCGCTTCGCAAGCGAAGCGTTGCTTAAAGAAATAGAAATAGTCATTATTCAAATAAAAATATAAACACTTTTGAATAAATATATTTTTTTATTCTACCACTCATTCGGAATGTTTTTACAAAAATATCTAACTCAAAATTCATAGGGCCGACAATATTATCTATTTGCACAAAGATTGAGCGTTAGCCGGGTTGCTATGTCGAATGTCGCATGCCTAATCCTTGTTAATGTGTATTTACTTATAACAACATTTATTTAAATGAGCAATACTCAAGTTTCTTGCTCATTCTTCTTGTGATGAGTCTGCGTTCCGAATGAGTGGTAGAATAAAAAATATGACTATTCAAAAGTGCTTTTGTTAAGTTTATTTGAATAAAGATTATTTCTATTATTTAGCGATGTGTAAATTGGTATGTAATAGAAAATTCTTTATTCAAATAAAATTAATTTAATCATTTTGACTATATTAATGATGATATCATTACATAATATAAAACAAAGTCGCTGTCGCTGTCTGTCCGTCCCTATGTATGCTTAAATCTTTAAAACTACGTAACGTTTTTTTTAATAGATAGAGTGAATCTTTGTTTTCGGGACAATTCACACAGCGCCATCTAGACCCAAGTTAAGCTAGCTAAAGCTTGTGTTATGGGTACTATATCTGATACATATACATAGACTTTTTTTTGTAAATACATACATAATATACATAAAAACACCCAGACCGATACAAACGATCATACTCATTAATACAATTATGTGTGCCGTGCGAGGAATCGAACCCGCGACCATCGGACGTAATGCAGTGTGCTAGACCGCTAGACCTCCGAGGTCGTCAAATATTTCTAATATTCTATGAACATTCAACAACAATATTATATTTAGGTTCAATTGACCCGTATAACCTCAATAACGGATCTTAACTACAATCTCTAACCGGTACATACAAGAAATAACTTTGCATAAATATTTTGTATGTATGTCGGTACAAAATATCACGTAAACTGTAGTCATTTATCATTAGCTAATCAATTTAGCATGCCGCATCCGTAGACCATAATATACCTAGTCAAATGTCAGATGCCGTCATACCAGGGTTATCAATCACGAAATATTTATTTATTTAAATTTATTTATTCAGATAACAGAGATCCAATTTGTTAGTAACAATTGTACTTAGCCTATGTTAGTATAGTAGCCTATGTTAGTTAGTATAGTTCCAAAAAACAGCAATATTCATAATATTAATACTAGATTTAAAGACAAACTTGCTGTCCCCAAGTATCGTTTAGATAAAGTTAATAGGTCTTTTATGGGAATAGGTATAAAAATTTACAATATGATACCAAAGGATATGTTGGAATTACCCTTAAATAAATTCAAAACATCTGTTAAATCATATTTACTGAGCAAAGCCTATTACTCACTAAACGATTACTTGAATGACGAGCGTGCATGGCAATAGTTGTTCATGCACTGAATTTTCATTTAATGTTAGACATAGACACCTATATAAAAATACATTGTAAATAAACTGGCC